GTCAGTGATGCAGGACGGAGGGGCTAACAAGGACAGCTGTCTAGTCGTTCGCATGGGACGAAAAACTGAGGTCCATTGTACACATTGGCGTGCACGTAAAAGATCCCTTGACAGTTGGAATTCGATATAAGAGTAGGCCGTAGTGCCGCTGTCCGGGCAAAATTTCCCTCATAGCACACTGTATGGCGTATGCCCGTCTTCATTAGCCCAGTTCGGAGCAAAACAGTAGGACGTTAAACCCCATTTCATTTCATTTCATTTCACGACCAGCTCTTTATCTAAATCTTACATCGTGCATCATTTATTTTTTTAAAAAGGATGTGCAAATAGTTTTATAATAAAAATTTGATGTTGACAAATGGGACTGTCACCAGGAAGATGTTTCAGCTGTCGACATTACGCTGTCCGCCTACAATCTATGCTTCTTTGACAGGTTTCTTTACAAGCATAATGGATTAGTCGTATGATATTGCAGTGTTTAATGTATAACTAGAAGCCTGTTTTACTAGAGGTGAAAGGAATGCAGTTTTCTGTGTCATTTCGGGGTTGGCGATTGAATTCATATATACTATTCAAAAAAAGTAGGGGATATTTGATTTTGGGGGCATAATACTAAAATATGCAAATGACTACGAAAAAAGTCACTATAGAACCTAACAGAAGAAACATTTCCAGTTACATGTGACGCCCAAACGCACCAATAGCTACCGCATGGAATGCAGGTGATGCTTGGGATCATCATGGGGGTCCAACCCAAGATTTGCACGACTCTGACTTTGAATGTTACAGTCATTGTGGCATTGAATTCCAGGGTGGAAACATCAGTTTAATTGTTTTAGTGACCAGAAAACAAATTTTGATATGCGTCGGCTTACCCAAAATGAAAGGTTACGTGCCCTTGGCATGCTACAGATCGGCACAACACAGGCGGTTGTGGCGCGGACGATGAATGTTTCTCAGTCTGTCATAAGCAGGCTATGGTCCAGATACCGTGATACACAATCTGTACAGGACAGACCACGCTCAGGTCGACCAAGGGCGACAACTCAAACCCAGGATCGATTTATCCGTACCTTGGCCTTGAGAAATCGTGTCATCATAGCAAATCAGATCAGCGCTCGTCTTCAAACAAACACTGGTGTGAGAGTGAGTGGCCAGACGATTCGGAATCGACTGCATAGGGGTCACCTTCGCGCCCGACGTCCTCGCGTGATCCCTTGTTTGAGAGATCATCACATTCAGGCAAGACGTCGTTGGTGTAGGGATCGTCAACACTGGGATAATCGACGCTGGAGCAATGTGATGTTTTCAGATGAGTCAAGGTTCACTGTTGATTTTTTGGACAGACGTAGGAGGGTGTGGCGTCGTCGAAACGAGCGCTTCCAAGACGTTAACGTCATCAGACATGATCGATTTGGGGGTGGTTCTGTTATGGTGTGGGGAGGCATCACTGTTGCTGGAAGAACGGCTTTACATGTTGTTGCAGGGCGTGTTACAGGCCAGTACTACCGGGACAACATCTTGGCAGTCCATGTTGTGTCGTTCGCACGACGTCATGGCCGCCGTTTCATCTTCCAGGATGACAACGCAAGATGTCACAGGGCCAGGATCGTTACAGGTTACCTCCAACAACAGAACATCACCACATTACCTTGGCCAGCACTGAGTCCCGACCTCTCCCCCATCGAGCATGTCTGGGACATGCTTGGACAGAGGTTACGTCAATGTCAACAACGTCCTGCCAATGTCCAAGAACTTGCTGCTGCGTTGCAACAGGAATGGGACAATCTGGACCAAAATGACCTTAGACGTCTCATTAGGAGTATGCCACGTCGGATCAATGCTTGTTTGGCAAACAGAGGAGGATTTACCCGTTACTGACTTGGTTGTGATGCTGTGGTAACTTTGCTGTTTGACCCCGGGTATCATTTTACCCTTATAATGGTCAGTCTGTGCCTTACTTAGTCTAACGATCATTTGGAATAAATCGATGAATGTGAACTTCATTTCATTTTGTCATTTGTTTCTTCGTCAGTTTCATTAGGTGACTTTAATAACACTTAAAAATCAAATATCCCCTACTTTTTTTGAATAGTATATGTCTAAGATTTGACTTGGTTTGCCCCCAATCTATGATTCGTTGACGCGCCTCTTTTTTTGGCGGTGGGGGGGGGGGGGGTAGCCGAATGTGCGCGCTGTATGATAAGGTTTGCCGTTGAGTCAACAGGTTGTACGTGACAAGGAATAGGTTCGCCTGTCCAACCTCGTGGGTTTTCCCCGGGTCCTCCGGTTTCCTCCTACTGCCAAAGACTTCTACTCGCAAGCGAATCATTGAAATAAAATTGAATCATGTGTTAGTCCCGAAATGACTTAGTTTGTGTTGAGTTGACGTTAAACCCCATTTCTTTCTATCTTTTACCTCTTTTTTAAATATAATTTGCGGGCTGTATTTTAAGTCTTACGATACGAGATTGTCATTTGCTGTAGAACTTATTAAAACATGTTTAACGTTCAAATTTCTGTACCATATCGTTTGGTAAATGCCAAAAGTTGGATCGCCGAGGATGGAAGTTGTTCAGGTAGAGTATCTCGAATACCCAGCGTCATACTAAAGTTATTTCATTACAATCATTACCATTAGCGCCTGGTTGGTCGAGATGCACATCCCATGTGGCTAGAAAGAAAGGTAGTGCGTGTTAAGAATTCTGGGATAATTTTGGGGTATAACGTCAACTCTAAAACATTTTTTTTTTAAATTATTAATTAAAACAATAAAGAAGTTGGAAGTATATCTGAATACAAAATATTTCTATTTAGTTTAAATGTGTACATAAAATAGTACGCGAAGACGTAATAGCAGTAAAGAGCATCAATTCTGCCCGCAACAGTTTGTGTTGCTACGTCCGATGTAAACAACGCACGTGAAATCGATGCCTTATTAATTAAAACAATAAAGAAGTTGGAAGTATATCTGAATACAAAATATTTCTATTTAGTGTAGATGTGTACATAAAATAGTACGCGAAGATGTAAAATTATAAAATGGCATAATTTTTGCCCGCACCAGTTTGTATTGCTACGTCCGATGTAAACAACGCACGTGAAATCGATGCCTTATGATGTGACGACATAAACCTATGCTTCGCGTGAACTTATTAAAGGTCAGTCATCTTATACAGAGTTAAAAGAGGGCTTTCGCATTATCTCTGTGAAACAGATTGGGTCTTTGGCAGTGGTGGGAAAACTGGGGGAACTGGAGAAAAATCACGAGGTCGGACAGGCGATCCTACCGCTTTTCACATACAAGCTTGGGATAGAAACCACGCCCCTAGTCTCAATTACAGACCTTATGATCTAAAGCACACGCGTTAAACCACTCGGTCATCAAACCCCGTGGGTATTATAGGCGACTAAACCATCCTTTCATCAAACCCCATGGTTATTATAGGCAAGTAAAACATTCGGTAATCAAACCCCATAGTTATTAAAGCGAGTTCTTGGTCATCGAACCCCATGGTTATTATAGGCAAGTAAACCATTCGGTAATCAAACCCCATAGTTATTAAAGCTAGTTCTTGGTCATCAAACCCACGGTTATTATAGGCGGTTTCTTATGATTTATAGTTAATGTAGCTGGTATAACATGGAATAGTTATTAGGGTCGGGTTCCTGCTGTACGGGTTATATTACCTTGAAGAAAAAGAGAGTAACTCTTCGAAACGTTGGTTAAATTATATCAGACGATAAAAACAGTGTTAGTGTCTCTTTTGTTTATCTACATGTACTTTTTAAAGTAAGTGTCTTTCACTAGATAAATATTAAAATATTAAAATATTTATCAAATGACGGACACTTCCTAATCGGATCCTTCGATCCATTGTTTTCATATTCCTGTTGTACACGGATTTTACACAAGTTTTGCTAAGTATATTGGAGAAACCATACTCTTGATGTCATGTATCTGTATAAAGCTAATAAACGAACAGACGGTAATAATAGCGAGTTTCTGGGTTGTATAAAATTGATATATATATAAAACTGTTTAACGGTACTAATTTACGAAAATATAATATATAAGTTGCTTTCTGTTGTTGAAATTTAATGATCGCAGCACAGTAAACGTTTTCATATAGGAGAAGTGATAGTCAACAAAAAGACCTTCATACATAACAAGGCAGTGAAGGTTGAAGCGTAAATTTGATTTGATTTCATTTATTTTCTTTTTGTATAGGTCTTTTGAAATATTGGTGGATAAAAGGTGTGTTCTGTTAGACCATAAATTGGACGGTCAAGTCCGGGTCAAATCATTACACCATTAGGTTGTTGTTGATTGTTACAAGTTTAACGTCCAATCATGATATTGTGGACAGGTTGATTTAAATATAATTAAGTTATTTTACTTATGAAGGAGTAATGCGCAAAAAAAACCACAACATTTTGTCAATTTTGCTGCCGTGAGAAGAGAGGGCAGGTCATCTTATCCCTTCGTCATAATAATAAAATCAGGTTCTGATTATCACTACTCCCAGCTTATTAAAATCGGGAGGGTTTTGTATTCAAAAGCAATTAATCCCGATTCAAGCTTAATGTCTCTAACAATTAAAACGCATGGGTTCAGTCATTAGACACAAGTACCTAATACATCTTGTTGGTTAATCAAAGATAAAGGACATCCATTTAAAGAAAGGCAAACATAAACAATGGTTAGTGGACATCCTAGAGGGGGTGTTATATTCCCACGCTGTACCCTTATTAACAAAACAATTGTTTCCAGGTCAGAAATGACCCATCTCAACTTACATACCAACCCGATCACATTACTCTCCTAAAATCACGACAGTATAGAGTACATTCTATTTAATTGAGATTTCTTGACTCGAGAGGCTATAATTATATATATTTATTTGTAACGGATGTTCAGTCATCCATGTCTTGTCATTACTCATAATTTATATATATATAGTTCAGACATTACTTCGAGCCGGATCAGTGGAGGCGGGTATATTTTGTATTCGTTACCCTTCATTTCATGGCCAGTACAAGACAAGGGGCACACTTTATGTATTACAGGATTACTATATCTCACAGAAGAATATTAACAAATGTTAAAGAAGCCACATTTATATCAAACAAGGTATGACTTTACTTTTATGTTTACATCTCGTACGACCATATCTTCTTTAAGTGTCATTTAGTAATTGAACAGTAACACACTAACACTATTTTATGGAATAACAATTACTGGTTTATTAACATGCAACGTTTCGACGATCATACTCTCATCTTTATCAAGCAAATGATAACATATATGTTCGTTCGTTTCTGGGGTTTTACGTCCACTTCCACCTAAGGTGATATCGTAGACAAAACATATATGTAAAACATCAAGTGTTTATATACAGTAAAAAAGAAGCCTTAAATATAGACCTTATATATAACTAGCACTGATCAAAGCGATGATGACAAAGCCCTAAGTTGTTACAATGTACCGAAGCCATAATTAATTACATATCTATAAAGCAGGACTGTATATAAATACTTGATGTTTTACATATATGTTATCATTTACTTGATAAAGACGAGAGTATGATCGTCGAAACGTTGCATGTTAATAAACCAGTAATTGTTATTCCATAAAATAGTGTGACGTACAGTTCCTTCCCATCTGTGTCGCTCGCTGGTGAGGCCCATGCCTTATGATGGCAGTTGAAGTCCCCACATATGATTAGGGTGTCTCCCGGAATTTGTTTGAAAATCCTATCGTAGTCTTTGTTTTTTGTTTTAGTAGCTGGTGGGTTGTAGACATTTACTATGCTTAAAGTTTGTTTGTTTCCTATAGCAATGTCAATCGCCATTAATTCTAATTTACTTGATTGATTTATTGTTAATCTGCTAAAAGGGATGTTGCTTTTAACATAGATGGCGAGACCGCCTCCTTTTGATTGGCCCGGTCGATCATGCCTCACCATTGTGTAACTGTCCAAATTGATATCATTGTTTTTGGGAGTTAACCGTGTCTCTTGTATACATAGTATGTCTGGGTTGTTTTGATAGACATATTGTTTGAGTTCTATCAAACGAGACCGCAGCCCATTTACGTTAAGTTGAAAGATATTAATTGGCTTCGCCATTTTAATTGTTAGTAATTTGTTGTTTTAGTATTTTAGATTATTTTTAGAAAACATCTTCGCTATTGTTTACGCTGCATTTGCGCTTGTCTTGGTTGATTATTTCATTGTCAGTAATCATGGGATTGTTTCCATGCCTTAACGAATTGTCTTCGTCTTCATTGACAACTGAACTTGTGTTTCTTTTAGCCGGTCTTGATTGACTACGGCTTCTTCGGTTTTCCTTTGATTTAGTTTCGGAGGGTGGGGGCATATTTGTTTCTTCTGTTTCTGGAGCCCTTTCTGTTTGAGGGAGTTTTCCTTTTTTTGATGGGGTTTGGGTAACTCTGTTCATTTTTGACGTGTTAGTTACATGATTTATTATAACTTTCCCTACTTCTATGTTTCCTTCTTCCTCATTTGTTATTTTTCCTAGTTTAGTCAATTCTTTGCAGAAGTTGACAAACTCTTTTATGCTTTTAAATTGGGGAGTGAAAGTTTTATTGTTGTCTTTTGTTACTTCCTCTTTGCTAGGAGGATTTACTACTTTTTTTTGTTCGGGTATGGTTTTATTATTAATATGAGCCGTGGCTTCTTTATGAGATATGCCATGCACGTACTGCATGGTCAAGATTGACTTTGTGTTTATATATTTGGGGCATTTTGGTGAATCAGCTCCGTGATTCCCTTTACAGTTGACACATTTTGTCTGAGTGGCCCTACATTCCTCGGTTTTGTGGTTGTTACCACATTTGCCACAGATAGCTGTGCTCCTACATAATTTTTCTAGATGTCCTATTTTCTGGCACTTTGTGCACCTTTTTACTTTGAGTATATATGGGTGAACAGACCTTCTTTCATATAGCATGTAGATAATACCCTGCGGGGTATCATCCTTTTTGAAGGTTAGTTGGACCGTCCTGATTGTTTTGCCTGGTCGTACCGGGTATTGGTAAATTGCCAGGGGTTTGTAACCTCCCAGTTTGAGGTTGTCCAGGATCTCCTCGTCTGTGTAATCTTTTGGAATGTTATATATTATTACTCTGTTTGTTTGGTTATGCTCCGACATGGAGATTTCAACCTTTATATTCCCTAACGTTTTAATGTTTGTCGCCAATTGGGCGTCCTCCATATTTTGGAATCCTAGTCTGGCGTTTCCGTTTGCCAGTATTCTGATGTCTGGGAGAGCTGCTGTCTCCCATTTTGTCCTAATTTCATCTCCGATTTTCGAGACTTTTGTGCCCTTGAAGGATTTCCCCTCTTTAGGCGAACATAGCACAATGTATTTGTAATCACGCACCATCCTTGATGCGAGAGCTGGTTGGGGTTGTCTTGGTGAGTTTACCAAGGCGTTTGAATAATTCATGGCCATAATAAATGCAATTCTTCCAAAAAATATAAATATAGGTGGTAAATAGTTGAGAAAATAAGCTAAAAATATGATAAGGATAAAATTAAGTTGAGTCAGCTATAGGACGAGAGGAATAGGGTGGGATTTGGGGAAGGAGTCGAAAAGGACGAAAGTCTGAAGCCTAACTTTGTTGAACAACTAAGATTAGCCCGCCCGCTAACTTGAGTTGTTCAGGTGACGAAATTAACTAAGTTATTTAAAACAAATAATAGTAAAGAAAAAAATTAAGTATAACTTACAGTATAGAGTGATCCTAATTATCCAATAATCCACTAAACACAAAATAGATGTTAACAGGGCAAACGCTAATTAACGAGTGAGTGAGTGATTAACCTAAATAAATCACACTGTATTTGATTATGTGTGTGGAGGGGTGTATGGGTTGAGGGTTTGTTGTGTGTTTGTGTGTATGTTTGTTTTGCGAGTGTTTATTATTGAATGTGCGTATATCACAGCATGGACCAGTTACTGGTTAATAGTTTCACGATAATCGAACAAACCATGTGACTCATTCCATTAGCTAGTTGAATGCAGTCATAGCGGCGATAAACCATAACGGTCAAAATTTCCTTTTGGTCTAAACAGTCGCAACACTTTAGTCAAAACGACCCCCCCCCCCCCCCTTAAAAAAAACAAACAAAAAACAACATTAATTTATTACATAGCATGGATAAAAATACCAACTGAGTCCCATTCATTTGATAAAAATTACATGTTCAAGCAGATGAAAATAATGACTAATCATTCTAAAACAATTAAAATGCTTATTGCCAACCCAGAAAATTGCGGGCTGATTTTCAAAGGAAAGGGGTGGGCACTAGGGTTCCCCGGTACGAGATATTTAAGTGATTGGTTAATCCATAATTAAGTATTCCACACTCTATTACTGGTTACGTAAGATACATTATGTAAGATTTAGATAAAGAGCTGACCGTTCTTGCTATAATAACTAAAAAATAGATAATACAAAATGAATATATTAAAAAATGCATTCAAATTACTTTATTCTGAGTCAAGTTATCACTGTTTGTAGTTTTGACAAGATGTGTGTATTAATTGTGTTTTATCGTAACAACGGTACTGGTATGTTCGGGGCTTAGCCTCGCTTTCCCATTTTTAATTACATCATTAAATCATTAAAACTCCATGCACGCGCTGTCCGATTTATATCATGTTTAATGGTGTCACGTTCATAATCGTAAAATATATTTAAATCTTTCGAAATGAATGGAAAAATGAAATGGGTTTAACGTCCTACTGTTCTGCTCCTAACCTGGGCTAATGAAGACGGGCATACGCCATACAGTGTGCTATGAGGGAAATTTTGCCCGGGCAGCGGCGCTACGGCCTACTCTTATATCGAATTTCAACTGCCAAGGGATCTTTCACGTGCATTCCAATTTATACACGGGACCTCGGTTTTTCGTCTCATCCGAAGGACTACTTTGAAACAAAACTTAAACGTATTCTGACACAAAAATAATATGTCTTTTCTAGACTTTCTGACCATAAATCCTGGATAATGATTAGGACAGGGTAAAAACAATAAAAAATGTGAGAAAACGAGAAATATTTGTAAAATGTTTTTGTTTTTTTTTAATTGTAAAAATGGTTCTCTCGACTTCCTATTTTTGCAATATCAACCACATATGCATAAAATTTAATTTTAGTGCAAACAATAAATGTTTTTCTTTTTTTTTTTTTTTTGCAAAAATGCATGGTTGCTATAACGTTTATATAGAGATTGGTTTAAAATATCATGTTTTATATAGATCATATAAGATTGGTATAAAATATCCTCTCCTATAACTATAAAGATTGTATCCTTGTATAGTTATAATAAAACACCCGAGGCAGCTTGAATAAAACATAAACACGCAGAGACAATCTGTCCGGACAATTAATGATAACAATTACATCATACTGTACGATGAACTGGGTCCTGTTTCATGAAATTTTAACTAAGATAAAATCCAAATTTTAGTAATTTGATTGGATAATATTAGATTGATTTTAGTGCTTAGTCAATCAACATTGAAGTATCTACTAAAATTTGGATCTTATCTTTAGTTAAGATTTCGAGAAATAGGGCCCTGTTCCATTTGAAGTCCCCGATACTCTACCGTGCTATTTCACCGATACCCAACATGTTATTTCGGCTTAATCCAAGCTAAAATTTGTTCAAATTCGTTATTTCATATTTAATTTAGAAATGAAAACCAAGTTATCAATGGTTCGGATTCAAGAGGATTAAAGTGGCCCATCCAAAACTTTTACCCAACATTTATGTGTGATCTCGCTGTAAATACTGAGAGGAATTGTAAACCGGTCAAACGACGTTCATACAACTCAATGTCAACTTCCGGAGAGAAGATGCTACACGCTAGATGATTCGCAAATAATTTGTATTATTTTCTTATCAAAACTTAAACATGGATTATGTAAAATTTAGATAAAGAGCTAACCGTTTTACAGTTCTAAAATAAATAATTCAAAATGGATATATTGAAAATTTCATTGGAATTTATTATTTTATTCTGGGTGAAGTTAGTGTTCGAGGTTTTGACAAGATGTAGCGTAGATTGTTTGATCTAACCCATTTAAAGGGACTATCCC